TCCAACACAGTTCTTCTCTAAATCAGTCTCTCAGTTTCAGCACTATTGACATTTGGGGCTGGATAATTCTTTGTTGTGGGGAGGGTCTTGTGCATCATCAGGCGTTCAGCAGCATCCTTGGCCTCTACCCATAAATACCCATAGAAATCACCCAGTTTGGGGAACCTGGGTGGCTTAGTCGGTTAAGCGGCCAACTTGCACTCAGGTTTTGATCTGGTGGTTCATGAATTCGAGCCCCACATCGGGCTCTGTGCTGACAGCTCAGAGACTGGAGCCTGCTTCTGCTTCTGTCTTGTGTCTCCATCTCTCTCTGCCCTTCTGCTCACACACTCTCTCTCCCTCTCTGTCTCTCTCTCTCTCTCTCTCTCTCTCAAAAATAAATAAACATTAAAAAAGAAATCACCCAGTTTATACAACTAAAAATGTCTGCATTTTTGCCAAATGTCTCCGCTGGAAGGCCAACTTGCCCCAGGTTGAGAATTACTGCTGTCAATAATAAATATGTGAAAGTCGATTGACAAATAAGTTATAAAATGTGTTGATTAGCAAACACATTCATGATAATGACAGCAAATACTTGCAGAATATTTAATGTGGGCCAGATACTGTTTTAAGAGCTCTTTTCATATAAGTAGCCTCATAGAGGGAGGGACCATTGTACCATTATTACCCACACTTTACAGATGAGGAAACTGAGGCTCAGAGAGGTCATACAACTGCCAAGTGTCCAATCAAGACTCTGAACCCAGGCAGTGTGACCCTAGAGTCAATTATTTGAATTTACTGTGCAACTCTTTAAACAAAAAGTTACTGGATTAGATACCTACGTGGCATAGCATGGGCTATTACCTTTGGTAGGTGCTCAGTAAATTAGTTAAGTGAATAAATGAATATCTAAAAAGCCAGGCAATTATATAACATTTTAAATCAGTATTGAATAGATCCCTTATTTAGTTAATTTAAAATTTAAAAACATGCTTTTCTTTGAATACAGTCAACTGAATATCACGTATTAGAGCAAAGCTGAGGGTCTCTTAGTATTTTGAAACTGATTCACAGGAATGTTTTAGAAAAAGTTTGTCAGGGTTACCTCTACAGTTTCTCGTAAGCTTCTGTTTGTGTGCTAGTGAAATGTTGTAGTATTTCAGAATAAAGACTGGTCAAACTGAACAAATTATTTTCCTGATGAGATTAGCAAAGCAGCCGCCCTTGCCTCATAATAAGGAGAGAAAATCCATCCTTCCTCCCAAACTAGGTATGCATTCTGATGAGGCATGATGCACTATGTGATAGTTTGACCTAGCTTCAGAACTTATTAAAAATTGAACATCTTTAACTAACAGGAAACCATTTTAGCTGATCAATGTTTAGCTTTCCATAGTTGGCTTCCTATAATAGATAGGAGGGTTGGGCTCCAAAGTTTGTTACAAATGCATTGCATCTGATTTATATCTAAGTGGCAAGCCTGCATTTTGTGTGATAAAATATAAAAACATTATGTTTTTTGTGTTAGAGACTTTAATATGTTCTTTTGTAAAGCAAAAGAATAGAAACTTCCAGAGTGTTAATTAAAATAACAATATGTAAAATATAACCATAAAATAGCAAGAAGACCACTTAATCACAATTGCTTCATCTTGCTGGTTCTCTTAAAATTCATATTATTAATTATAATAATTTTACTCAGCAAAACCCTAAGTAATACATTTTCTTATTGTTTAGATGATCTTTTAAAAAATTTGAGTGGCTTTTTTCCCCTTAATTCTGAAGAAGTCTGTTATTATAAGGACAATACTAGAAAATATCCCAAATCTCAATTTTCTTGGAAAAATGTCTTCCATATCATGTGATAAAAGGCATAACAGTACCAATATATTTTATCTTCTTTAGTGATAGTGAAGGATATTTTTGTTTCTTGATCTAGGAGTTTGCTTACAGCTTTAGAATTCATGATTTCTATAATGAGTACTTACCACATAGTAAGTGATCTGTAATCTACCTCCCACACAGTCTTGATGCAGAGCATTACTTTGCCATAGCATTTAGAGTGGTCCATCATGATACCTAAATTAATTTATGGGTTACCCCACGTACCTGTATATAAAGTGGCTGCTGAGTACACAGACTTCTACTGAAATAGTAAGGTCATTCAAGCATTGTTTATGAATTTGGAATTTTGGGAAACCACAGCAAACAAAATTAAGCAAAAAGGAACTTGTCAGAAAATAGAAAGTGACTTTTTTAAGGTTTGGAATTGTCCTGGTTGATAGCCAGATCTGGGTTCCCTGACTTGAATCTCTGAAGTTGCCAGAAACAACTCTGTCTACGGAGGTACTGAAGGCTTACTTACTATGTTTTATGAAGCAGTCTTCAGAAAGTAGCACGGCTGACAATTGTAGAGCTAGCAAAGAGCAAAGCCTTCATTAGTACATAAATACCATTCAGTTTATTTGAAGGCTAGCATGATGGCCAGTCCAGAACACATTTTTCCATGACCTGGAAATTTTTTTAAAAAGCTCCCAACAGGAGTAGAAAGTCAATAATCCTGATTCTAAGAGTATCTTTCCCTTAAAAATGGTTATACCATCAACTAGGTTATACTTGCACAAAAATCTGGTCCATGTATATTGCTCCCTCCTATGAGATTTAATAATACTATGCAGTCTATATTTAATTTGTTTTAAAGGAACCCTTTGCAAGATGCTAAAAGGCACAGCTATTATTTCATGTTGTATCTACTTTCCAAAAGTAGGGAAATATTATAGTGAAACGGCTACTCTTTCCAGCATGCTTCTACATGGTTAGAGATGTTACCTTAGATTTCATGGTTATGATAATCTTAGTACAATGGAGAGGCATAGAGGTTCGATCTCACTACACATTAAGGAAGAATGAAAGTGGGACTCTGGCTATGTCTTACTCAGTCATTGAATCCGAAAACATAAGATCTGAGAGATGCATGAGTCATGAAGGGAACCAAAGGAGATAGGACTTGTTCGTAAAAAATCTATGGTACTTTTTAGGGGGCGCCTGGGTGGCTTAGTCGGTTGAGCTTCCGACTTGAGCTCAGGTCGTGATCTCACAGTCCGTGAGTTCGAGCCCCACGTTGGGCTCTTTGCTGACTGCTCGGAGCCTGGAGCCTGCTTCGGATTCTGTGTCTCCCTCTCTCTCTGACCCTCTCCTGTTCATGCTCTGTCTCTCTCTCTGTGTCTCAAAAATAAATAAACATTAAAAAAAAAATCTATGGTACTTTTTGATGACCATCTCAGAATTAGAACTCTACACATTGGGGTGAGAGGTGGATTTTAAGCCATAAACCATATTATAAATAATTGGATAGAATTCTTTTGGTGATGGAAAGAAATTAGACACTGACACATGAAATGATTACTGAAAGAGCCACTTTCAAATCTGTGTTGCTACAATGAAGTGATTGTCATAGTCCAAATGTATAATTTTCTCTGTTATATATGAGGAATATGTGTAGCTGACTTGTTTAACAGGTAACTGGTACTGATTCCATAGATTCAGAAGAGAGATTTGTGAGTACCACTCCTCTTTTTCACTTTACTTAAGACCATGGCACATTTTCTTTATTGCTCAGCTCCCAAATGTTAAAGAAGAGTGACAGACCAGTGCTGTTCACAACACAGTACACACTTGGAGGAGAAGAGATCAGTGAGAACTGAAAAATTATGACTGAAAACCATTCTTCAGCCTCCTAAATTTAAACATTCAGACACTAGAATTTTGGGACTATTGTGAATTTTCTATATTTTATTTTACATTTTAAGTTTATTATTTATTTTAGAGAGAGAGAGAGAGCAAGCGAGCAGGGGAGAGGCAGAGAGAGAGGGAGAGAGAGTCCCAAGCGGGTTTCACACTGTCAATGAAGAGCCCATTGCGGGGCTCAAACTCATGAACTGCAAGATCATGACCTGAGCCGAAATCAAGAGTCAAACGCTTAACCGACGGAGACACCCAGGCACCCCTGAATTTTATATATCTTAAATTTTTAATTTTGAGAGACACAGAGACAGTGTGAGTGGGGGAGGGACAGAGAGAGAGGGAGAGGGAGAGAATCCCATGTGGGCTTCATGCTGCCAGCACAGAGCCCAAAGCAGGGTTTGAACCCATGAAATTGTGAGATCATGACCTGAGCTGAAACCAAGAGTTGGTCACTCAACTAATAGTCACCTAGGTGCCTCTCTATAGTTAAAAAAAAAATGTCTTATTCCTTAGGACATGACACACTTAGATAAAGGTCTTAGTGAAAGTTGTTAGGGAGAGGAAATTATGTTCAAGTAAGTTCATTTTGCTTCTGATTATTTGAATAGAATTATGCTGTTTAGTCACAGAAAAAACTGAAATTAGGGGAAAAATTTATTTATCTGCTATCTCTAGTTCTAACCAGTGTAGAAATTTGGAGATTAACTGTTTAATAGAAATTTTGATAATGATGTATATGTCCCTTGTAAAACAGTTATTTTAATGCAATGATGACCTCTTAATTCATTACATACTCTTCAATGTGCAGAAATTTTGCTGAGAATTTGACACGCTGTCAGTTTTTCTAAGTATTATCGAATATATCGACCTACCTTGTATGTCTTAACAAAAGAGCATAGTGCTCCCAATTACGTTTCAAATAATTTCTGTTAAGTTCTGAGGTTACACAATTTAAAATACATGGAAGCCTTACAGTTAATTCTGTATTTCTCACAAGTAAAACCAATAAACAAAGTTGTCTAAATCACTTAGGTTTTTTTTTTCTTATAATTTTGGCAATATCATCTACTTCTTTTTGATAGCTTAAGAATTAGTTCTAACAGACAATTTATTTTTATTTTCATTTTTTTCCCTAGTTTGAGGTGCATGTTACAGCTTGCCATTGTGGTCATTGTGGTTCATTTCATTAAGCTTCTTGTTCTATCTGCTTTCTTGAGACCTGGGAAACAGTATTTTTCTGAGTGATTGTACTATATTGTTCCAAATATAAGGCCACCCAGAATAGAAGGCAACCTCCAACTAGAAACAGCTCAAATATGGAGAAAGGCTGGGGGCCCAGAGCCCGGCGGGTCTTGCAGTGGTGGCAAGGGTGCCGAGGAATAGGACGATGCCTGCCCACTCTCCCGGTGAGTGAAGACGAGCCAGCTGCGGCATTTGCTTGTGCACACAGATGGCTTCTGTTGCTAGAGACAAAGTTACACTGGGGGGAGAGAACAAGTCTGTACACGGAAAAGAAAGTTGTTGTGTGTGTCTGAGTCTGGGAAGGGAAGCTGGGAATAGAGCCTTTCATTTCCTAAATGGTTACTGTCAGTGTCCGTCCCTCCCCCACCCACCCCCACCGAACATGGTTGGGGTTGAAAGTTGAGTAACCCCAAGCATTGGAGAAGATCAAAGGTACCCTGCACCTTTCATAAGAAGGAGTTTAAAAGGTCCGGGGCCATGAAAAGGAACTGTCTGTAGACCAGCCCAGAAAATTATTCCTTGCCTTTGAAAATCAATTGCCCACCCAAGAGGTGGTGCATGCACTTTGTGATCATGTGTGATTTGAAAACCAGTGACCTTGAGTCATGTTTCCAATTTTATTAAGATTTTCTTCTTTTTAAGTTCCCTATCTCCTGAGCCAGTCAGGTTACAATTTAAATAAACAGACTTAATGTTATTGTAATAAATTTGAAGAGACTGTTTAAAATCATTTGTTTTACTAGTATTTCACTCGGCACATTGTAAAAAACATTTCTGTGAAAATGTACTAGTCAACTGAGAGTATGTATGGATTGAACCTAGGTAACTCTCCAAATATTGGTCTGATTCTCCTAAGCACATAGATATATAGCCTTTTATTTTATGGTAACTAAATGAGACAGGATAGAAGGAAGTGCTTGTTGTGTTATAATCTAGAAAACTATTGAGCACCTGTTGGTGGACAACTTTACCAGGCACTTGCTTACCTTTGCAACTTTACAAAAACCACATAAAATATGAACCTTGAACTTTCTTGTAATTACTAGTCCTTGGCTTACTAAGCACATTTGAAGGACAACTTTAATTCATGAATGAGTTTTCCCCACTGTGCAGGTCCTATTTTAGCTATTATTATTATTATTATTGAGATAAAAGAGTGTTTAAAGGTAGAGCAGGACTCGCTTTAAGTTTAAACAGTGCTAAACTGCCCAGAGGATTTGGTTTAGGGAAGCTACTTCTCATTGATCTTAGAAATTCTCTAAAACCAAAAGCCCTGAAAGATAGAGGCCCCTTGCCCAAGTAAAAGCATGCTAGGATTATATGTCTGCCATTTTGCCAGGTCTGGGAAACTAACATTTGAAACAGAAGGGCTGGGCAGCACGAGGTTTGAAAGGAAGATCTGGAAGGAGGGAATCCCAGAGGGGGAGTATTATAGGCTGCCCAGTTAGATTACCAGTCAGAGGGAAAACTGTACTGCAGTAGTGGGTCCTAAATGAGAAGTTCGAAGTGAACTCTGCATAACCTCAGAAGCCTTTTCAAAACCGTTCATAACGGTGGTAGCAGTGGGGAAAGAGAATAGTAGAGGACCAGAGCTATTTGGAGAATAGCTTCCTTTATAACTCCTTCATTTTGGAAAACTTTCATCTCTACAGAGGATGAGGATGACCACAATTTGGTGGTCAAGTTGTGGGGGGAATGGTATGCCCCTTAACCGTCTTTAAGTTTCTACTAAGTTCCCTTCTATTGTTTGTTTCAGGTACTCTTATGTCTGATTTGATCTGAATTACAAATACAGGAAAACCTATACACTTTATCCCCAGAGGGGGTTAGGGCTATTATAATTGGCTTTCCTGTGTCATCACCTGCTATTAATGTAATCATTAGTAGCAATGGAGGACAGACTGGGGAAGTCCCCTAAACGTCATATCCCACAGCTTCCTCTCCCCGTTGATTAGTGAGGGTGGGGAGCAGGACGTGCTTTGATTGTATAACTCTTTGAGCAAGGAAAGAACATGGCTTCAGTTGGCTTATGAGGTGGCAAGGATAGCCTTCAAGAACACGGGAAGAAAGGAAGTGACCAGGGAAGGGGGAAGGTACTCCAAATTGCATAGATTATAATTTTTGTAAAAATTGAAGGGGATTGTCAGATTCTCTACAAATGGTATGGTTTGCATAAAACCCATATTTCTCACTGTTGCTGCTCTCAGATTCTCCCTCCCATCACTAAAGTGCACAACACAGAAACACTTCTGTGGGTGCTGGAAAATAAACGTCTCATCGCAGTTGTTTCCTGCGTTTGTGAATCCACACATGTACCTTCAGTGTCTCCTTCTCAGGGTATTAGAGTCCTAGGATTGAGTGAAATGGAGCAGTTATTAATCTATTAGGCATGAAAAAATCAGATTTGTTGATGGACAGAAATTAAAATCTCTCAGGCCCTTTGGGTGTAATGATCACCCTAAAAACAGGTTTGGAGACTTTCCATTTGGCTGCTTTTTTCTAGGAGGGGAAGTAACTGAAGTTTTACTTTTTCCCAGTTGCTGTATGGGTGACTGCAACCCTCACAGGCCAAATTAATAGGGCCTAAGTTCTGGTTTTTCAGCAATTAAGTCAAAGAGTCACTAAAGTACAAATATCTAATTTGTGACCTGTTTTGTTTTTCATTTTTTAAAAAACCAAAAATATTTTTTTCCTTAAAGAAAATGTTGAATTTGGATGAATCTCTTTGAAAACTGCTCCACTGTAGGTCTTTACTTCAAAGAAGGGTTTTATAAGACACACCATTTCTCCAATGCCAGAATGTGATGTGTCCGAATTTTCGGAGACATATGGAATATAGCATTTGTCTTGCTGAGTGAGCATGTTTAACTCAGCTGCTAACTCACAAATTCCCTACTCTTGAGCATCTTTAAGTTTCCAGAATCATTCCTGAAATATTCTTAATGGGCATTCCTTAGGGGGCATTGCTCTCTTTGGCAAATCAGAAATGACATCTGGACATGCATCGTGATGGCTCTTGGTTAAGTGTTCTTGCTGGTCAAGCAGCGAGTGTATTCTAGTTCACAGGTTGATAGCATCTTAGGACAGGCTAGAAAAAAATGAACAAACTAGCTAATTTTCATTTGGCAGTGAAATTGAATACTGAATGACATCTATGCAGTTCTAAACGACTTTTGTTTTAATAACAAAGTTGTTGATTTTCTACTAAGGGTTCTTTTAGGTTGTCATCAGGGGCTGATGGGAGTAACAGTCCACCCACCTCTCCAGCTAGCTTCAGTGGACATACCACACCTTCTCAGCAGCCTGAACCTGTGGTACATTCTCTTAAGGTAACCAACTGTGTACAACCGTTTATCCAGAACTTCAGTTGTGTTGTGGCTTGTTTGCTTTAGTCTGGTAGTCCTCACAGTCTTGTTTTAACCATAGATACTTTATTTTTTGACCCCCTTATGGTGTAACTCTTTTAATTTTTGAAGTGTACTTGTTTTTAAATTGACAACGGGTTTGAGTACTTATGGTTGAATCTCTGGTTTTATCATTTTGTCTTGAGTAATGTGATTCATATCAATCTGCATCGAAGTTGAAGTCTGATGTGCATGTATATCCATTTGTGTAAAATATTGTTCTGGGTATTTTATGTGCGGTGTTTATAGTATGCATGTCTTCAAATATAGGAAGTTAATAGGCAAAATAAGGAAGGTTATCATATTTTTCTTTATGCAATTGAGGTACATTGTGCAACTTGAAAGAAGACATTGAAATAAAAAACCTACTCTAGCCTCCATTAAATAGAAGTTAGATGTTCAAAGTTGAGTTAATGCTCTTCCGTAGAGTATTAGAAAATAGGTGGTCTTCTTCATAAAGCTACTTTTATCTTTTACTTCAGATTCTGCGATAATTTCAAAAAAGATTTAGCTGAAATGTATCATTTATTTTCTTTACCAATAATGAGCTTTCCCATAAATAAGTGCCATAAGTAAAATTAATAACAATATAAATATTATCTAAGAGGAGAAACTGATGTAGGCAATAAACATTACCTTAAAAATTGAGACAGTCCCTTCAAGTTTTATCATTTCCAAGGTATGAAATCCTGTCCTTCAGATTATCTGTAATTCCTAACAGGTAGCCTTGGTGAAACCTTTCTGAGCCATAAAGTAGGTAGCATGCTTCAGTCCTGCTCTTGCCACAAGAATTTCACAACTTTACTAAAAAGTGTTTTGGTTTTGGAATGATTTATCAATAATAACCTGAAGATTCACTCTTTTGGAATGGGACACACTTTCTCTGGCATGCAGAAAGCAAGTAGAGGAGAAATTTAAAATATTTATTTGATGTGATTTTAGCAGAAGATTGAGCCCCCTCATTATATTTTGCTATAACTTTAATGAAATGAGTTGCTCCTCCCAAGCACATACTGATTGCTCCTGAGTGAAGGTAGCAGCACTGTGCTGGTGGCCAGTGCAATGCACTTGGCATTTTCTGTCTTGGTTGGAATAACTCACCAAGTGAACAACCAAGAGGAATTTACCTGGGAAGGCCTACCCGAATGAGGGGCTCCGCCCTGCATCTGGTGGCTGCTGATTTATCACCTGACCAACATCTTGCTCTCTGCAACAGCATTTGGATGCTGTTAAGCATGAACAGCATGCTAAACGTGCTGTTACTTGAGCATGAACCAGACGCTATCTGAAAAGCATCTTAGAAATAAAAAATGAGAGTGGCTTCAATCCTGTAGTGTTTGTGTCTGCACATACTCCAAAAGCAACACATTGCTCTACTTTTCAAACTGAAAACTGTTTCGGCCTGATGCCTTATTAAATGGCAAGTGTAATTTGAATCAGATCAGCATATAGGATAGCCTTGCAATCTTTCCCAAATTTGTCAATGCAGCTGTGTTCCTATGGCCTAAAAGGAAGGGAAGGGAAGGGCAAGGAGGAGCTCTTCAATTTTCTCTGAATTCATTTTCTAATTTTCATATAAAATTTTATCTCAAGAAAGAAAGATATTGTTATAATCAGAATACGTTAAGTGCCCTCAGTTGGCAGATGGGTAACACCAAGCAACTGAAGCATCTTTCTTGGATAAGTGGAGGCTCTTGAATACAGAGTATGTTTGCTTCCGTGAGTTAACTGTGTCGTGAAACAGAAATATGTGCCTAGGGGAAATAATGCCTGTGGGAAATGCATCTTAGGGAAATCGCAGTGCAAAAGAAGAAATGGAGCCATTCAATATGTTTTGTTTTTAAAAGCCCACAGATCTAGAGCTGATTTAGGTCATAAAATTTTTCTGTTGTAAAAGGATTAATTAGAACAATGGTTCAGTTTCTCATCTTCTGATACATCTCAAAAAAAAAAAAAAAAAAAAAATCTCTAGGCTTTGATAAACTCTGTGGTCATGGTTTGGGAGGAAAGTCCTGTAAATCACTGTGAGAAATTAGCCCACTTGTAATAACACCACATTTATCTTGCTTTAAAATTCATCCTAACTATTAATTGGAGCTTCACTTCATTTAGTAGAAATTAACTGATTTGAAGTACACTTGTCTTAGGTGCATTAGACATTGAATTTGTAGGCAAATGAGCTTGTTCCAGGAATTAAGTTTTCTATGAATATTCACTGAGCATAGGCAGTGATTTCCTGTAAGTATATAAAGAATGTGAACTGACTCTAAGTTGAGTACCAGGATGAGGCTTTCATTTACTACCGTGACATCCTCTTTTAAAGTACCTACATAGTAATAATGGCTAGACATTTTGAGTTAATAAGGGAGTAGTTTGTGAGTTAGATTATTTCAGGATTGAATACTAGTAAATAATCCATATAGACTCTGCATGTATGAACTTGACATGAAGGGTCCACTTCATGTTTAAATCATTTATTTTGGCTCAACTGTTCATTAGTGCCAATTCTCAGGCAATACCTTTAGGTGTGGCCATCAGCATTGACCGTGATGACCACAGAACCAAGGAGGTTAGCAATGTCGCAGTCCAGTGGGATTCATAGAAGAGCTTTTAGAAAAGCATTTTTTTTCTGTGTTTTTTTTTTCTTTGTTTTGGGTTGTCTTTTTGCTACATTAGTGCTTTGGCTTACCAGCTGATACAGAAAAAAATAACAGACAACACTCAAAACCAAAGTTTTCTCCCCTTTGACCTATAGAAAGTATGGCATGAAAATTCTACAGGCATATTTCAAGAAATATTATTTTGAATCCATTTAGAGATAACTTAGAGAAGTGGAATCTCATGCCTCTAAGATTGCTTAAAAGCATCTCATCCCAACACTTTGCTCTAATGAAAAATGCTGAAAGTGTTGCTCAAATATTTTCACAAGGAGCCAGTTTTTCTCATTGATATTATCTAAGAACCATCTCCGTAGTCCTTTTCTAGTCCCTGGGAACATGTCCAGGCAAGAACTGTGAAGTTAGTAGTGCTAATGTCACCTCGAGTTCTTACGTACATATTCCTGGGTTTTGACTACAATCTCTTTTAGTCTTTTCTATAGGCCATGTCTACATATCATTTGGATTATTTGGCATAAAATTATATTGCTCATCTTCACAATGGAGCAAGAATTAGACTTTCTGCAAATGGTTGACACAGGCAAGTTATCTTAATGACCAAATTAATTAATGCATCTAATTATTTTAGATATTAGTGAATTCAATTGACTATTAGTGATACAATAGATTGCTTTTAAAGACCATTTGAAAATCGAGAATTGATTCCTAGTAGGTTTCATAACAATCATTTTAAAAGATTGTGCCATGTACTAATCCACTCTGATATGCAGAGACGGGGAAAACCAAAAGGTTTTGCAAAGTGGACCTCCTTTATGGTTTAATTCATAAACTAAACTAACAAGTTTGTTTCCATGTGAAATTTACTTTTCTTTTTCAACATATCCAGGTCTTGGATGTTCAGGAAACTATAGATCGTCAACAGGGTAAAGAGTATGAAAATGACCTTAGTGAGACAGAAAAAGCTATAGTCAGAGAAATGTGCAATGTAAGTTTAATGTGCTTTATTGTGTATTCTGTGTTGAAAGCCCCATTGCAGCTTAGTTATCATTTTATGAATACCTACTTTTTATAATGCTGGCCAAATGCCTTGATATTTTTATATTAAAATAAAACCAATTCCCCTTGTTTGGATCTTTAACATATTTTATTGCAGCTTTATTAACACAGTCATAAAATATTCAGGTAACCGATAATCAGCCAATTCTGTATTCCAGAATGATCCAGGAACATTTTTACATAATTTACTGTTGAAGATATTGTGTTGCTAGTTTTGATAAATGGGTTTCTGTTTCATACTTTTAAGAGGTACCAAAAAATCAGTTTAAAAGCCTGTGATAAAACACAGCCTTCTTCAGACTTATTTACAGCTATACTTGGGGGAAAAATCATCTTACTAGGTAACATTTGCTTGGTTCTTCATATGATATGTGCGCTGCCTGTTTTGCAAAGTAGTAGCTTTACCTTTCAGTGTTCATGAAGGCTCAGAAATTTATAAAAGAAATAAATATGAACTTAAGAGATACACATAGAAATCTATGAAATTAGAGAAACACAGTAAAAGAATTGACATGCTATTTTCATGATACATATCTAATCAAGAATGTGATTTGTATTTATTATTAATCCCTGGCTAAATTTTGAGTAATATGCATGGATATATCATTTAATCAAGAATATAATTGGTGAAGTTGTTAAAAAGCTAAATATTATAGAGGAAGCCATTTGTTCAAATAAAAATCATAGATTAAGCACTGATTTTAATAGGCTCTATGTTGTACTTTTATCCTCCTATTCTTTGTCCATTAGGATATCAAAATTGCCTAGAATTACCTTTAGGCTATTAGAACCAAATATTCTCATGTATCTACCTCGTTGAGACGTTCTTGGAATCCAGTAAATGTTTTAAGTCCTGTGGGCATTTTATATGTGGTGGGGCCACAGTTTTAGTCTGCTTTTTTTCTTTTCTGCATATCTATTTTTGTCTATTTTCAAAAGGTCATTAGTTCTGGAAGTCATAATTTCCCACCACTCTTCACCTTCTGTAGCTGTTCAGCCTATTCTTAAGTTTTACGTTTGAATATTTCCTTCAGATACATTCAAAAATTTAAGCTACATACCTTAAACATGCCTGTTGCTTCTCATCTGTTGATTATGGAATGAGAACTAAAGTTCAGACATGAGGAATTGTAGAGCCAGAAGAGACCACAGAGAAGATCCTCCCACAGCGATTCTCCCAAGTAGTACATGGGTGTCCTCAGTAATCCAGATGTCTAGGTTTCACCCCAGCCCCTGGGGAATTTGGATATAGAAAGCCCTGGGTACCATCTCCACACTTGCCTTTTATATTAGAAGAGACTGAATTTCCAAAATAAAATTGCTCGATCAATTTTTTCTTTAAGGAAGTCAGGACGATACCCCAATCTCCTTTTGAGTCCTAGCAATCACCCCTTTCCCAAGTGTGGTGAATCTGGGGACTTCTAAAAGCAAAGCATCTTCCAGAGAGGACCCTCTCCTTTTTGCATAATGCCTGAATTTCTGTAAAAACACATGCTAGGATTATTTTCTTGCCTTGTCGTTTTAGATACAAGACTTCTGAACTAGAAAATTTATTTCTTAGTCACACAAGAGACATACTAATGGAATGGGTCTTGATTAGCTCGTGTTGATCTTTGCCTAGATTTCCAAAAATGTTTCAAAAATGCTTCAAAAGATCATATGCAGTGGTAGTGGTGTTTTTCCATGCAGGAGATATTTTCAGGAAGCCAAAAGCTTGCCTTCCTAAAAGTTCCTTTTACTTACCTACTTTTGTCTGAGTCCCAAAATTTGAAGAAAAAAATACAAGTGAGGCCAAATCTGATAATTAGCACTTTCATATTTGGAAACTGTTTAAAAGCCAAGAGAAAAAAGTGTTGGTTTAAAATGTTTGTGTCACCATTATAAATTATATGAACATTGAACTCCGTGCATACTAGAGAGCAATGAGAAATGCGAATTGTGAGGTATTTTCATAGATAATTTCTTAGAAACTAGCTCAAGTTATAAAACCTATTCCAGAAACTATGTGCTTTTGTAACAATTTAATAGAAATGTAAAGTTTTCTTATAATGTGAGATCAGTTATAAGACTCAGGTAGAATTTAGGATAATAAGTTTGGTCTCAGTTTCTGGTGTTCCTTCTGGAGATCAGTTGTCAACCAGTGTACAATGAAGTGACAGCATCATCGTGTTGATTAATAATTAGTGGTTAGTAAGAAGTGCTTTTATTCTCTTCCCAAACTGTGCCACAAAAATACATTTACTATTTCTTATAGTGCAGCATATTTATCTTAGGTCTGTTTGGCTTTTGTAAATTCCCTGAGAAGAGCTGAACAAGTTGACTGGTTACCTCAGACACCCACCTATTCTGGTTTTTTTTTCCTATTCTGTTCTTTTAGTCAATAATAAGTCACTACTCTGTGTCCACCTTAGTACCATTGGCTCGTTTCAGAGTTTTGCCTTCTCTGACTCTTTCACTACATAGCAATTTCAGGGTTAAGGCCCATGGTATTCTACGTTTGAGTACTTGAGGAGGGCTTGCACTTTGGAGTTGTAACCGTCTAATGCTTTTTGTCTATGCTTTGTTCAGGTCTTTGAGTCTATCCTCTGCTTCTCAATGAGACATTCAAAACATTCGGGGCAGGTGTAGATACCATGTAAGGGCTAGAAAGCAAGGTCCAGAGCATCCTTGGACCCCTTGATTCAGTGTTTGCATTTTTTCAGTCTATTTATTAAGAAATGGGACATTCCTACCTTCCTTGTGGACAGCTTGAGCCATCTGTTGCTAGAGCATTCCTTTTCTAATATTTAAAGACCATCAGTACAACTCTTTTCAAATAGAACAGGTTATTTCTACTGCCTAGTGGTGTCCATCAAAAGAGAGACTAATGGTTTCATTGGCTTAGAAATGAAGGTAGACAGAATCCTATATTCTTATATATTACCATGACTAGTATTAGGTTTCCCTAGAGTATCTATTTTTAAAAAAATTCAAAAACAAAAAAAAAGTCTATCAATAATTAATGAACCAACAGTTTTGTGTTCATGTAAGAGCAATGTAAATTTTTAGGGAATGAATCAATCCGAAATTAATCCTTATTGTGAAACACAAGAAGGGTTACTGTTTTCCATGTGGGGGGGGGAGGGGTGCATGTGCATTTTCCAGTTCACATTAGCATATTGGTGTATCACTGATGAATTCAGTGGCTTTACATTTTTCGTAACCTTACCTTTTGCTACTTTCCCTCTAAAATGGCCCCATTTTTATGTATTATATCTATTGGGGGGATTCTTGATTTTATTCTTCTTTTTCCTGCATTTGGTTGCTCTCTGCTTTGATAATCTGAGAGGTAGTACAGTTTGGTAGCTAACTCAGTAGCTATGACTGAGGCCCCTGCTCTGTAGGGAAAGCTATGGAAATTTACTAGTGGCCCTAAGTCCTACCAGCTCAGGGCTTAATAATAACTCAAGAACAAAAACTCCATTTTCCTTAGTGGATTAAACATTTTGGTATCCCTTGTGTTCAAGATGTATAGAAGAACCAAGATGATTTTGTTCACATGTTCTTAATTCTGGCTATACAGAATTATATTGGAAGCCTTAAGAAAAAATACAGATGAACATGCCTCCCCTTTACCATGCAATCTGAGAATTGGAGTTACTGTTTAAGGTTCTTCAAGTGCATCGTGTACAGCCCAAGTTGAGGACCACTCATGTCAGTTGGCACATCATTCTTTAATTTTGGCCCTGATTATTACAAAGCATTGTAGTTCCCTCTACTGAGTAACTCTTGTGATTTAGAAACTTCCATCACATTTCATCATGTTTGAGCTCATTCATGGGGTTATTTTGTCTCTTGTCTTCACATTCTTCTTTGCCCCTCTCATAGATCCCCCTTTAAAAACCACAAATCTCTTTGTGGAAAAGGCAATTAAGATGTTTATTTTTATTATTTTTTTTATTTTTACCTTTTTTAAGGTTGTATGGAGGAAACTTGGAGATGCTGCCGGTTCCTGTCCTGGAATTAGGCAACATTTGTCTGGAAACCAGTACAAAGGACCAATGTGAAAGGCACTCTTTCAAACAGGAGGTCACCACTGCCAGAGAGAGATAAAAGAAGAAAAAAGTGGGTTTCTGCACACCTGGACTCTTTGAATAACATGGAGTGATTGTACATTGCACATATTTTCCCTCTAACACCTTCAGTATGCTGTATGTCATGTCTTTGGTTTCCATGTCCACAGTAGCCCATCTCGAGTTAATTTAAAACAGCTTTGAAAATCACCATTTTGGTACCAATATTTTCATTAGAGTTAAAATGTTTTTGACTCCTAAGATCTAAGATTAGAAGAGTCCAGTAGGGCCTCAGTGGTTTTCATAGAGTTGACTCATTGCACAGAATGGTGGGAGTTTTCTACCATGATGTGTTGAGGAAGAGGTGGCTTCCAGCTTTCCAAATCTGAGAGTTGGGCACCTATTTCTTGTATTATAGTCAAAAAATTATGAGTTCCTGATGCATAATTAATTTGGATGTAAGGCAAGATTAGATTTCTGGGATTCTGTTTTGACTTTTGAGGTGCTAAAACTACCCCATAAATTCTCTACCAGCCAGAAGGGTAGCAAGATTTTTTGTAGAGTGCTTATCAGAGAGTACCATTTATTTCAAGTGATCAAGATAAATATAGCTTTTCTTTTAATCTTGCTATATTCATGAAGACACATCTTGGGGGCATATCTACTTCCATATTCATTCAATGTAGCCATTGATGTTAATATTAATTCCAATTAAAGAACAAGCAAACATAATTTTTCTAAGTGTTTCCAGCTGTGAGATGTCAATTTCTACAATTTAGTTTCTAGATCTGCTGTTATATTTAATAAACTTTATGTAAACTTTAAAATATTGCACTGCATTTATGAAAAAGCTTTCTTTGCCTACAGCAGCTAACGTTTTATGAAAATGACGCATGTCTTTCATTATTGAGGCTAAAAGCTCTTGTTCAGATTGCTTGAGGTTTGAAAAAGAGGTGTGCTAGCTTTGCTTAGTTTCTTATTTTTGGTATATATATATAATATTAGACTGTGTGTATTGGAAATGCTATGATAGGTATTTTGTGTTTTTCAAATGCAATGATAGTTTCTTATATGAATGTGCAAGAGGCCTGTGACAGAATGCTAAGTTTTTATTGTAGTTTAAGATTATAAAAGTAGGAATGCAACAATTCCCAGTTTTTAGAGTTCTTCTCAATTACTCAGATTGGATTCATTGCAGATATTCATCATTGCTGTTGTTTTTATAATGGACTCATTATAGTATATTAATTATCATTGGTCAAGGAATGTGAAGGTATTTCGTTATACTTTTTTAAATGTTACTATGATGAAAAAACAGCCCTCTGTTTTCAGAAAACATTTATGAATTAATTTACTATAGAATTTACTATAGAATTATCTCTCTAATTATTGAAATTGGGTTACCAGTTAAGCTTATCTTTCTTTTGAAATGTTATATTATTACTCTGTAAAAGAAAATTGCTTGCTATATTTACACTTTCTATCGTAGAAAAGCTTTCATCCTTAAATTGTTGTATTCCTACGCTCTGAAGACATTTAAAACAAGTTTTTGTGCCTGCAGTAGAGACTGCAGAAGCTAATACAAGGAACACTGGTCTTTTGACAAAATACTTGTGTAAATTTTGATACTGTATTAAAACTATTTTTTTAAAGTCCTGCATAAAATCGAGTATCACATATGTGTTCATCTTAGCAATGGTAATAAATTATTTAATCTCAGTGGTTTTTCCTTCAAAATTTTTTTCCTAAATTGAGTAGATTTCTAATAGTCAGTTGCTAAGTATCATATTGTTCCTAGATGATGGTATTAATGATGGTAATCCAGATGATTATCTTAAATCCCTCATTATGAGCATATTTAAAAACATCCCTTTGTTTTATATTTAATATTCAGGTTCCTCCATTCACACCATTCTCCATTATAATGTAGTTAAAAATTTAGAATGGTATTTAGGAATATTTAAAAATCAGTGTTATAAAAACTTTCACTTGTTAAATTCATATAGATTAAAATTAAATTTAATTCAACTATTGTTAAAGCAGTCATCAAGAGGGAAAATACTAAGGGGAAATACTGTAGAGTTAACATACATTAGTGGGGGAAGATGTAATATACATATACGACTAAGACATAAACTGGAAAACACACATTATACACATGCTCAGAGAACACACATACTTCTGAGAAACCACTAATAAGACTCTGGAATAAAGCTTCCTAGGGGCGCCTGGGTGGCGCTGTCGGTTAAGCGTCCGACTTCAGCCAGGTCCCGATCTCGCGGTCCGGGAGTTCGAGCCCCGCGTCAGGCTCTGGGCTGATGGCTCAGAGCCTGTTTCCGATTCTGTGTCTCCCTCTCTCTCTGCCCCTCCCCCGTTCATGCTCTGTCTCTCTCTGTTGCAAAAATAAATAAACGTTGAAAAAAAAAATTAAAAAAAAAAAAAAAAAAAGCTTCCTACACTGAGCTTTAGACCCAACTTTAAATGACATACTAGATAGTCCAGGACCTGAGTCTTGCCGTTGCCTGATATATTTATCAATAAAAATGTGCAGCATCATTCTCTCATGCGACCAGTTTATGGTCTTATTTTCTCTGGAACAAAGGTTAGTTTACACATCTTGGAAGAATATTTTTTCCAGCCTTGAAGATGACAGACAATCAGAATCTAAGCTTTTTAAATGAATGCCTTTTAAGTTTCTAGCACATGGTCAAGGCATTATAGAAAATTCAGATCTTATGTGACATCTAGTAATACATCATTGGATGTGAGGGTATCATACATCACATTGGCGGGAGCCAATGTAAAGTATCTTTACTAAGTATGGCATTGAATAAAGGTTCTTTGGCTTAGCAAAGCAGACTTTGAGCCAGCAAGTTCAGCATTCAACACTATAATTAGCTCTGCGAGTTTGAACAACTTAATGTTGCTGAGCCTCTGTGTCCTGACATGCTGAAAGGAGACAACATCTATGGCAGTGTTTTAAGGTTCTTGAGAGCCTCCATAGTTCCAAAGCTCATGGTCTTGGCAATCCACAAGAAACAATGGCAAGTCTTCCAAGACATAGGAGCCAGCGATGAGCTGTGACAATGTTATTAGACCATTAGGCTGGGAGAGGGAACTACATCAACATGAAAGGTTTATTAAACACATAAAAAGATTCTAGCTGCATAGTTCGCACTTTCAAGCTCTGTTCTCAGCCTACTGCAGGCCTTATCATGGTCAATCACAGATGGTAATTGTGAAAATGGAGGAAAACAAAAAGATATTGATCTGGTTCTCATAGGAATGATATGTTTGAAAAAAATTCCACAACTACTTAATTCCATATTACTGTGAAAACATAGAATACAAGAATAAACAAAGAAATAAGAATAAAGACTTTTACTTAAAATGGCAGAATATCTGCTGTAGCTCCCTCCTTTTGCCTTAAACTCTAAAAATGATTGAAAAGAGATTTAATAAATTTACAATCCCAGTAGAAAACAACAAATAGTGTACTCTGGGGACCATCAATTAAGATAAATTCTTAAAAAATGATAGACACAGTATCCAGTTGAAAAATGAATTCATTATTCAAAATACATGAGGAAGGGTATTGTTGAACATGCAGAATGGCTTCAAGGATGCTCCAAACAAGACAGAGTTTGAACCTGCAATGCCTGGGATCCTGGGGGGACTTACAGTAGCTATGCATTTTGACTCCTGCGTATGCTCTCCCTCCTTGAATCAGGAAGAGAACAAAACATAATTTCTCCTAGGCCAGAGCAGAGAGTAAGGATATTTGAATTGGAGACACAGAGCAAAGTCTTCAGTTTCTTGACACCCAGAGGAGAAAGGATACTCTGTGTCCAGATCATTAGCTACTAACACAGCCTGCCTACAAGTTTGTCCCACCATCTCCCTTACACCTTAGACTCAACTATCTCACAAACCCAGCACCCTGACCTATTTCTTCAAGCAAGATGTATGGGAAACACAGGCGGTTCATGATGAAATTTCAATACTAAGGTATACAAATAGCACCCAACATTGGAGGGAAGCCATTCAACATTGAATCAGAGGCACAAAAATTAAATCTGTACCAATGAAAATAATTAAGAGGACTTCAGAAGTAGGACCAGTATTCTCAAAAAAGATGGTAAATATTGCATTCATTATAAAGAATTTCACATCTTGGGAATACAGTGTTAGTGTGAAAACTCAATATATTGGTTATACAGTGGAAAGGACACCGCTGAGAGCAATTTTGCAGGTTTGAAGCCAAGAAATTTTGCCAGAATTCAGAATTTTAAAAATCTGAAAGAGAAATGGCGACTATTGTTCCCACAGTGCTTTCTCTCTCACTTACTCTACCATTTCCCTTCATTCTTCCACCCTTCTCTTCCTAGTTTTTTTAAGTTTATTTTGAGAGCAAGGAAGAGAGAGAGGGTGGGGCAGAGCAAGTGGGGGAGAGAAAATCCTAAGCAGGCTCTGCCTCTGCACTATCAGCACAGAGCCCAACACGGGGCTCAAACCCATGAACTGTGAGTCATGACCTGAGCCAAAACCAAAAGTTGGACACTTAACTGACTGAGCCACCCAGGTGCCCCCCCCCCCGCAGTTGTTTTATAATTGTCCTATTTTAAGTTGTAATGTCAAAGGCTATCTCAAAACCATTTGGAAGGATAAAATACTAGTCTCACAAGATCCTCTCATTTTTATAGTAGTGCTTTTCATAGTTTTCATGCCCAAGTAATTATTTCATCTGGTCTCATTACCACGAAGAATTTCCCTTTCCTATCCCAGGACTTTTATTTTCTAGATCCTGTTCTCAAGTGATAGCTTACAATATATAACATCATAACGGCCATAGCAACAGACTCATATGCTAAAAGCAGCAGAAAGTGTCTGGAAGTGGCCTTTGAGTCTATGGATTTATTGTTGGATTTGGGCCAAGCTACATAAGTTTCACATGGCATTTTAGATTAAAAAAAATGTTTTCCCATTGTAATAAT